TAGGCCGCCAGGCTCCTCTGTCCATGGGATTCTCCAGGCAATAATACTGGAGTGGGTTGTCGTTTCCTCCTGCAGGGGCTCTTCCCAAACCAGGGATCGGACCTGCGTCTCTGGCTTGGTGGGTGAATTCTTTAACCTCTGAGCCACCAGGGAAGCCCTCCCCTTGCTGAGCACTGTTCAGAGAACCCCGGCACCCCACTGCCCTCCCAGCCCCCTCAGGCTGGCTGAGCCCCACTGCCTGTCTCCCGGCCTGCGCCCACTGGGCTGTAGGCACTGTCTCTCCCCAGAAGGTTAGCTCTCGGAGGGGAGCGACTTTTGCTTCTTTTGCTCTTTGCTGCACTCCCAGTGTGCCTAGTGGTGGTAAATGCTCAGTAGTGACTTTCTTGAGAGATGGAAGGAGTCATCTCACCCTGCGCACCTGCCCAGGCTGGGGTCCACCCCCGGGGGATATTCTGAGGCCCTGTGGCTGGTTCCAGCTCCAGCACTGGCTCACACCTGGGGCCGGGGCAGGTGAGGACTGGCTGGGCCAGAGCTTCCTGCACCCCCAGGCCGGCTCCCCACACCCTCCACGGCGGGCCTCCCCTTCCTGCTGGCTGCACTTGCAGTCTTCCCTAAGCTGTGATAGGCCCCGCGGGGCCCCTGACCCCGAGCCTCGTCTCCTGAGGTCTGAGGGGTGGTCCTCCAGCTTGGCTGGGTGACAGCTGCCTGAGCTCTGAGCCTACCTGCACTCAGGGAGGAGAGAGGCTGCCTTCGCCAGCAGCTCCTGGGGCGCCAGACCAGGGGCGGGCAGAGGGCGGCCGCAGCACAGACTGCCACCAGCACAAGCCTCACGAGGCTCTGCCCTCTGTTTTCCTGTCGCCTCCGGGTCACCAGCAAATCCAGCCAACTCGCCCAGAGAAGCAGACGCCCCACTGGTCCCCTGTCCTTCGGGAGAGCTCAAGCATGCTGACATAAACAGCAGTGGGCACCGGGTGCTGGGAACCTGTGAGACGCTCACCTTCTTTTCACTTCAGCTCAGTGCGGTCGCTCAGTCGTGTCCGACTCTCTGCGACCCCATGGACCGCAGCACGCCAGGCCTCTCTGTCCATCGCCAACTACTGGAGTTTACTCAAACTCATGTCCATTGAGTCGGTGATGCCATCCAGCCATCTCATCCTCTGTCGTCCCCTTCTGCCTTCAATCTTTCCCAGCATCAGGCTCTTTTCAAATGAGTCAGCTCTTCCCATCAGGTGGCCAAAGTATTGGAGTTTCACCTTCAACATCAGTCCTTCCAAAGAATATTCAGGACTGATCTCCTTCAGGATGGACTGGTTGGATCTCCTTGCAGTCCAAGGGACTCTCAAGAGTCTTCTCCAACACCACAGTTTAAAAGCATCAATTCTTCAGTGCTCAGCTTTCTTTATAGTCCAACTGTCACATCCACACATGACTACTGAAAAAACCATAGCCTTGACTAGATGGACCTTTGTTGGCAAAGTAAGGTCTCTGCTTTTTAATATGCTGTCTAGGTTGGTCATAACTTTTCTTCCAAGGAACAAGCGTCTTTTAATTTCATGGCTGCAGTCACCATCTGCAGTGATTTTGGAGCACAAAAAAATAAAGTCTGTCACTGTTTACACTGTTTCCCCATCTATTTGCCATGAAGTCATGGGACCAGCTGCCATGATCTTAGTTTCCCCAATGTTGAGTTTTATGCCAACTTTTTATTCTCCTCTTTCACCTTCATCAAGAGGCTCTTTAGTTTTTCTTTGCTTTCTGCCACAAAGGTCGTGTCATCTGCATATCTGAGGTTATTGATATTTCTCCTGGCAATCTTGATTCTAGTGTGGGCTTCACCCAGCCCAGCGTTTCTCATGAGGTACTCTGCACAGAAGTTAAATAAACAGGGTGACAATATACAAGCTTGACATAACTCCTTTCCTGATTTGGAACCAGTCTGTTGTTCCATGTCCAGTTCTAACTGTTGCTTCCTGACCTGCATACAGATTTCTCAGAAGGCAGGTCAGGTGGCCTCGTATTCCCATCTCTTTAAGAATTTTCCACAGTTTGTTGTGATCCACACAGTGAAAGCCTTTGGTGTAGTCAATAAAGCAGGAGTATATGTTTTTCTGGAACTCTGTTGCTTTTTCGATGATCCAGTGGATGTTGGAAATTGATCTCTGGTTCCTCTGCCTTTTCTAAATCCAGCTTGAACATCTGGAGGTTCACGGTTCACCTTCTTTCACATTACTTTAAAAGTTACTTACAGCTTCCCTGGTGGCTCAGCGGTAAAGAATCTGGCTGCCAATGGAGGGGACACAGGCTCGATACACGATACAGGTAGATCCCGTATGCCACGGGGCAACTAGACTCATGCACCACTACTGAGCCTGTGTTCTAGAGCCTGTGCTCTGCAACAAGAGAAGCCACTGCAATGAGAAGCCTGTGCACCCCAACTAGAGAGTAGCCCCCGCTCTCCAGAGCTAGAGGAAGCCCGTATGCAGCAACGAAGACTGAGCACAGCAATAAATGCATAAATAATTTTTTAAAGAAGCTCAAACTCCAATACTTTGGCCACCTGATGGGAAGAGCTGACTCATTTTAAACGAGCCAGGTGCTGGGAAAGATTGAAAGCAAGAGAAGGGGATGACAGAGGATGAGATGGTTGGATGGCATCACTGACTCGATGGACCTGAGTTTGAGCAAGCTCCAGGAGTTGGTGATGGACGGGAAGGCCTGGTGTGCTGCAGTCCATGGGGTCGCAGAGAGTTGGACACAACTGAGTGACTGCACTGAGCTGCACATTTATGTGAAGTGACTGACTGGACCGCCGTCTCCGCAGGTGCAGGGCTCACCACCGTGTCCTTAGCTCTGCTTCGCTGGTAGCTGGTGTGATGAGGGCCGTTCTGTCATACAGGCTACAATGCAAATCCCAGCAATTATTTTGCCCACAAATCTTCCATTTGAGCAGGCGTGGAGAGGGCAGTCCACTTCTGCGCCACTTGGAATCTGCTGGTGATGTGCAGCCTGGGGCCTGGAATTATCTGAAAGTTTGGTCACTCATGCCTTGGACAGATGCTGCCTCCAGGCTGAGGCCTCAGCTGGGGTTACCAGCCAGGACACACACGTGCAGCCTCCCCACATGGCCAGCGCTTCCTCAGAATGAGGAAGCTGGTTCCAGGGCAGAGAGTCCAGGAGAGAGAGCCAGGAGGAAGCCCTCCGTCTGTCATGACCTGGTCTGGAGAGTCACTCCACCTGACTCCCATGCCTGCTGTTGGTCAGGGCGTCCCAAACACCTGCCGAGGTCCAAGGGGTGTCCTGGTGGAGTGCAGCAGGGTTCTGGAAGACCACTCAGGACTGGACGTGCTGCTCTGGCTATTTCTGGAAGATACTATCTGTCATAAGGGGCTGCAAATGCCTTCAACGTCCCAGGAGAAAAATTACTCCTACCTAGAATTCTGTACCCTGCCAGCCTATCAATCAGGTGATTGAAAGTGCAAGCTCTCAAAAGTTCACTCCCGTGACAGTCTCAGAAAGCCTCTAAAAGAACACTCCACCAAAACAAGGGAGGGGAGCAAGGGTGCAGAAGACGCTGTCCTGCAGGGAAGAAGGGAGGAGGGCAAGTCCTAAGGTGACAACCAACCAGGAGGCCAAGAGATCAGCCAGAGGACGTAAGAGCAGGAGGGCGTGGTGTCCCAGGGGCATCTGTGCTGGAAAACACGCACTCCGAAGGCACTGACGCAGCCTGTGCCTCTGTCACTGGGAAGTGATATTTAGAACCACTCTAGTGATGAGTGATCACGACACAGAGTGAAACCGATGACAAGGGGACTGATCAAATAAAACGGAGTTGGGACACAGGGTATGTACAGATACTTCATATGTGGCGATGATCAAAGTGCAGATAGAGGAATTAGAGACCTTCAGTGTTTGGCAGTAATCCATTAGCCAAACAGGGGAAGAGTGAAACTGAGCCTCCGACATACACACACACACACACGAATAGTTTCCAGGAGGATTAAAGACAAAAAGGTGGAAGGCATGTCTGTAAGGTCTTTAGAAGATGGAGATATTTGTCACACACATAACTGACCAGGGATGGTCATGTGGTGTTTTAATTGCTAAGTCATGTCCAACTCTTTGGGACCCCATGGACTGTAGCCCACCAGGCTCCTCTGTTCATGGGATTTTCTAGGCAAGAATACTGGAGTGGATTGCCATGCCCTCCTCCAGAGTATCTTCCCCACCCAGAGACACAGAATCTGCATCTCCTGCATTGGCAGATGGATTCTTCACCACTGAGCCACCAGGGAAGCCCTAGGTTTGATTGCTGTTGGTTTCAGAAGTGTTCTGACTAGAGTGAAGATGAGAGTTTGAGTTAGCAAGGAGGTTGGTGGCTCAGACGGTAAAGCGTCTGACCACAACATGGGAGACCTGGGTTCGCTCCCTGTGCCACACAGAGCCTCTGGAGAAGGAAATGGCAACCTACTCCAGTACTCTTGCTTGGAAAATCTCATGGACGGAGGAGCCTGGTAGGCTACAGTCCACGGGGTCGCAAAGAGTTGGACACGACTGAGGGACTTCATTCACTTTTCACTAAACGGCCCAGCAGAGTTGGGATAAAAACACCCTGGGTTAGAGTTTGGGGAGGATGGGGTTTACACTGTTTCTCTGAAGCAGGATTCTGAATAAATGAGGATTCCGGTGGAGCCGGGGCTGGGGCAGGGCTGCAGTTTTCCCGACCAGGTTTAAATCGGGCAGGTTGGAGGGGGAGGGTGATCGCCTGTGGGCACAGGGGCCGCGTAGACTTCGGTGTCCACACCGCCCCCATGCCCCATCCCCCCCGCGGCGGTCCGCAGCAGCCCAGGAAGGGGCCCTGGGGTACCCAGCAGGACTCGGTGCCCGGAGGGGGCCGCGGCCTCATCCGCGGGTGCGCAGAACAGCGATCCGGACTCCGCCGCGCGCTCGCCCGGCCACAAGGTCGCCGTTTGCGCCTGACGTGGGCCCTCCACGCAGCTTGTTTACCGTCCTGCGTCACCGGGAAACGTCCGCCGCGGACTGGGACAAAAGGTTCTTCCCTGGTGAGCCCCGCCTGACAGAGGGCGTTCGGGGGCGCCGCTCACACCGCCTTCGGGCGCCGCCCGGTGGCTGGTCGGACCGCGCGCAGCCGCTGTTCTGCCCGCCTGCCCCAGCGTCCTCTGATCCCGGGAGCGATGACAGACCCCCATCACAGCGGGAACGCTATGCCAACCCTCCCTGATGTGGCGGGCAGTTCCCACCTCCCCCCTCCTCCCAAGCCTGTGGGCCTCCTCCCCACCCCCCCCACCACTGCCTTCACCGCCGCGCACTCTGCACGGCAGCCTCGCAGGGTCACTCCTGGTCCCTTCCCTACGCCTCGCAGCTCCCCTGCTCCCCAGGGCCCTCCCAGGACCCTGTTTAGACCCTAGGCATCCTCGAACCCGGCCCAGACTCCTACCCTGGGCTCCAACACTTTGCCTATAGCTCTCTGAACACATTCTCCTGCAGCCAAATGTGGATGCCAAAAGCTGCCCTGTTTCCTCCCCAGGGCGCCAGTCAAACTACCTGCCCATCTGCGCTGTCAGGCAAGCAATCTGATGACAGTGAGGGAAAGAGCAGGCCAGGCCCGAGCACTGCCAGGGCAGATGAGGGCCCTGGGGTGGGGGGAGCCTGCGGGGCAGGTGGAATGCTTCACACTCCCTTCCAGGGCCTGGTGGCACCCCTGGCTGGGCCCATGGGAGTAGTGTGGACCGCAGAAGGATTGGAGCCAGGTGGCCGCGTGTGGCAGGCTGGTGAGGTGGAAGCTGTGCACAGGGTCCGTATGGCCCACGAGAGTCCTGGCTCACTGCCAGGCAGACTTTCTCCACATCCTGCAACCTCTGAACCTGAAGGAAGGAGAAAGTGAAACCCAGATGCAAGCAGCCTGGGCAGGCAGGCTTCTGAGCACCGCGGCGCTGGTCCAGCCCCAGTGGGAGTTACAGAGAGTGCCCCCGGGGTTTCTGCCGGCAGCACGGCCGCTCCTTCCTGTGGCCACTATCAGCCTCCAGACTTCCGGGGCAGCCACGGAGGCGTCCCACATGGTCCACATAAATTCTGCAGGAGAGGACCGGCACCCAGGGGAGGGGTTTTAAACTTACACGGGCTCAGACGTCAGGCCCCCTGAGGCTGAGAAGCACAGGGAGGGATCCTGCCTGGCTGAGAACCCACAGCGTCCACCCCCAGCTGCGGACCCCCTAACCTGGCCCTCCCCAGTCGCCTGGGCACCGTGTCTCCCCAGGCAGGGGTTGGCGGGGGTGGGGGGGGCGCGTGGAGGATGCACAGGGGTGGTCATGCCTGGGGCTGTGCAGTCAGACTGCCCGGGTTTGATCCCCAGTTCTGCTCTTATGGGCTGTGGTCGTGGGCAAACACCTTTCAGTCTGACTATCAGCTTCCTTGTGGAGATCACGACCACCCTGCTGGGGTGCCCTGCAGACCTCCAGTCAGGACACCCCTCCGGCCACACTATGACACAGGACACCCCTCGGCCACACTGTGACCCAGGACACCGCTCCAGCCACGCTAAGACACAGGCAGACTGGCATCCTGCGCTGAGTACTGGGTTCTGTGCTATCACACAGCATCTCTCTCAGGTGTTCTTATGCCCCACTTTTTAGGTGGAGAAGCTGAGACCCAGAGCACTAAAGTAAACTGTCCGATGTCACACAGCCAGAGAGGGTCAGCGCAAGTACATGGACCCAGCCTGGCCTGATGCCACAGCCTGTCCCGTTGGCCACCAAGGTCTCCTTGGTCTTTGAGCAGTGGGTGGGGGTCAGGCTCTCATCTGGAAAACAGAAGCCCTGGGAGTTTCCAGGAGAGGAAGTTGAATATAGAAAATTTGTTACACATGTGACAGAAGTAACTAGATGCTGAAATGGGAATGAATGGTGGGGCCATGGGAAATTAGCCAGGGCTCCTGGCCAGGCTGGAACCACGCAGGCCCGCCCAGAAGGCCACAGCCGAGGAGCCCTTGAAAGCAGAGGGAGGGGAGAGATGCTCTGGCTCCAGTATGTCCCTGCCCTCCAGCCTCTCCCCCACCAGACCCCTCGGGCATCCAGAGGAGCCAGGGCTAGGCAGTGTTTGTGGAAGGACCTGGAGGATGTGGGCCGTGACGGGACAGAGCAGCAGGATGCCCTGTTCCAGGGACGTCTCCAAAGAGGTCAGCTCTGAACTGAGTCTTGAGAAATGTAGTGGAACCAAGCAGGACCCTCTGGGGCCTTCCTGGGACAGACCTCCCCACTCATGTCGTCCACCTGCCTCTTGTCTGCAGAAAAACATTAGCGAAAGAATAAATGTGATCAGAGAAATGAGAAAACAGAGAGAGAAAGGAAAACAGTCAAGTAAGACAATATAATAAGAGGTTAGTCATTAAATAAGCACAGCACAAAGTCAGGGACCTTTAGATCTTCCTCAAGGACTGTAGATACTATTTTGAGCCCCACCCCTTGAGCTGTTTTGCAGACACCGAAACCCCTGCCCAATGGGAGAAATTAACTGTGTGCTGCCCACAAGATGTGGACCCCAGACCAGATGGAACCAGAAGGTTGGTGATGCTGACCCCTGGTTACCTCATAATCAGAAGAATGTCCATGTGCTGATCATGGCTCCCGCAACCCTCTGCCCTGGCATAGCCCTCTTCTACGTGATCTCCAAGCAAAACCCAGGGAGTGAAGAGTTGAGTCTTTTGGACATAAGTCCACCTTCTTCCCAAGACTGCCAGTTTCCTCAATAAAACCATCTTTCCTGTTACCCAACATTTGTCTCTCAGTATTAATTTCTTGATCGGCCTGCAGCTGAACCTGAGTTTGCTAACAGTAGGAGTTTGACATCAGAATAAAGGTCATTCCAAACAGGCGGTGGATAGAAGCCCAGGTACAGAGTCGGTTTTGCAGGAGTGACCTGAGACCTGCTGCCATGGAAACATACCAGCTCCTGTCCTCTTGGACCACCTGCTGGACCACCTGTGCCTCTGACAACCCCCCCCCACCCGGGCTGGGGACCCCTTCTTAGGAGCCCCCACTTCCTTCCTGCCTCTCTTGCAGTCAGGGTGGAGGGGGGACCCTCAGGCTCCTGCCTAGCAGACATAGAGGCAGGCAGGTGACCCAGGTTCTGCAGGTCAGGAATACACATCAGGACCCCCTCACGGCCAGGGTCATACCTGCTGCCCGCTTTGGGCTCACTCTGACACCACCATCTGGGGGTGGCTGGCTCCCACCCCCTGCAGACTTAGGGAGCCCCCCTGCCCTTTTCGTTTTTAATTGGTTACTGTTGATTTCTATATCTGTTCTCAAGAACTCTGTCACACCTTCTTTCAGGAGGAAATCAGCTCACATGTTGTTAACAAGGGGTTGGCTTTTCTCCTTTTCAGATGGATGTTTTCCAGACTCCTAAAGTCTGGTTAGAACTCATGGTGCTGGAGATGAACCCTCTCAGAACCGTGTGCTTTCTACTTAGTCATGGGTTCACACAGCTCGGACTGTAGACTGTGGACCCCAGGGAGGCAGGGCTACAGACTCAGGCCTGCAGCTGGATCATTGGGACTGTAAGAGTCTCCCCACTTTGGGCAGACCCAGAACAGACCAAAGAACTGCTCCTGCCTTGGGCAGAGCCGGGAGTTGCTGGGACTCACTGGCTCCACAGTACTGGCCTGCGGACTGTCCAGAGGCCCCTAGTGGCCCCGAAATGCCTTATGTGTGTTGGTCACTCAGTTGAGCCCGATTCTTTGCGCCCCCATGGACTATAGCTTGCCAGACTTCCCTGTCCATGGGATTCTCTAGGCAAGAATACTGGAGTGGGTAGCCACTCCCTTCTCCAGCGGATCTTCCCAACCCAGGGATGGAACCCAGGTCTGCCTGCATTGCAGGCGGACTCTTTACGTCTGAGGGGTGGGGTGGGGGGGGGCGGGGCGGGGCGGTGGTGAGTCTCCGCGATCTAGCCCGGACCCCTCCCTGTTTACTGACAGGTGTGCCACCCTGACTTCACAATGCGTTACATGCAGCCTGTTGGAGCGGCGGATCTCCATCCGAGTCAGCACTGAAGTCACCTTCGCCGGGCGGGCTTGTCGGCGCCCAGATCGCCGGGTCCGCCGCCCGGGTCCTGCAGAATGTTTGCTTCTGTAATTAGTTCCCAGCACGTGGGATGCTGCGGCCCGGGACCACAATTGTCAGAGCCGCCCCTCCAGACTGTCAGGTTCACTCTGCAGTAAGAGGCAGGTAGGTGGTGCACGTGAAAAAATCAATCAGGAGATAGCAAGAGGGGTGCAGACCAGGAAGGAAGCCCGCGCTTGCTGGGTGGGGGGCGTCCTCTTACAGCTCAGCCTGCCTGAGGCGCGGGCGCAGCCGGGAGGCCGGAGCCTTTGTGACGTCACAGCCCCGCCCGCCGGGAGAATGGTTGCCACGGCGACGTAAACCGAAGGCCTGGGCTCGCGGAGCTCCGGGACAGCAGCTTAGAGGCTTCGGAGCAAGCGCCGGCGTGCGGAGCGGGTGGGTGCGCTCTGGACCTGAGCGGGAGCCGCGGGCGGGGTCGGGGCAGACATCTCGCGCGCCGCTCCACGCCCCTGTCCCAAGGCTCCCGGTTCCTTACTCATCGCATAGCCAGCCGTCTAGCAACCCCTCTTCCCTCCAGGCCCATGCACCCTCGCCACACGCCCGGACGGGCCAGACGTGGGTGTGGGGAGGCCCGGTCCTGCTACAAGCCGAGTACCCCGATTCCTTTCATGGAGGCTGCAGTAGGCATGCAGCTGGAAGGGTGCAAACTTTGGAGTCAAGGAATCTTGGGCGGGAGTCCGAGTCTCAGGCCTTCCTGACTGTGTGACTTTGGACAGTTTGCTACTTTGTTTCCTCCTCTGCAAAATGCAGACTAACTCCGCAAATAGTGAAAAAAAAAAACGCCGCGGTGGGGGCGGAACGCTTGATGAGCCACCAAGCAGTGCCTCCCCTGGTCCTCGGGGAGCTTACATTCTAGGGGAGCTAGGCAATCGACCGTTGTTAAAGGGATACATGAGTAATTGGAGACTGGTCAAAGGGAAGAGGACGGGGTGGTGGGAAGATGCTTCTGGGGAGGGGCGGGCCTGAGTGCTGGTCGGGGGTGGGAGGAGCCAAGGCTCGGTCTGACCTTGGATGGGCAGGTCCGCGACCAGGACTAGCCCGGGGCGGCTAGAACCATGCCGGGGAGAGGAGGGAGGCGCGGCGGGTCGGAGCTGCAGGTGTCCTCCTCGTGGTGAGCCCTGGGCAGGTGCCGGCTGTTCTCAGCAGCCGTCGGGCGGAGGGCGGGCTGCGGGCTGGCCCCACCCGGCTCAGACGCTGTCTCTCCCCAGGTTGGGAGTCTCCTCTAGCCGATGTCGGGTTTCTCAGTGCACGCTTCCTCCTCGGCGCCGATGTCAGAGAACCTGCCTCCTATGGTCTCCAGGAGCGTAACTTTCAACAGTAAGTGCTGGGCTGGGGAGGGCTTGCGCAGGGTCAGAGGCAGCCTTGGCGGGGGTAGCGGGGGGGGGGGGGTGCCTGGGGCGGCGGGTTCAAGGTGGAATCAAGGCGACAGCGATTCTAAGCCAGGCCACGGACCGGAAATCACAGGCTCTGCCAAATTCCCTAGAAACTCCGTGCTGTAATCCCTAGGGCTGCTGCAGCCAAGCCCCACCCCAGCCTGGGGCATAATCCCGAATTTATTGTTTCACAGCTGCCGGGACCACGAGTCCCAGGCAGGGATGCTTCCATTCTGAGGCAGGGAGGGGACCCTGTGCCCCGTCCCCTCCCGGCTTCTGGTGGTTTGCTGGCGATCTCTGGTGGTGTTTGGCTGCTAGAAGCATCACCTTCACTCCATCCTCACGTTCTAAGTGTGTGTGTTCCATTATTTCCCCTTCTTATTAAGGCTGTGCACACTCGCCCAGTGTGACCTCACCAGAGTTACATCTGCAGCCACTCTCTTTTCAAACAGGGTCGCATGCTATGGTGCTGGGCGTTAGGACTTCAGATCTTCAAAAGCATTCATTTGAGGGGTGAACACAGTTCACTGCAAGACAGGCCTCGAGGAGGATGCCACAGTGGAGATGGGGCTTGCTCAGCCTTCCTGCAGCCTCAGCTGCTGGCCAGCCCCTGAGCTGGAGGCCCGCACCTCCTCCCTGGGGCTCCCACTGAGTGGCCCTGGGGGTGGCCGCGGGACTGAGGGGCAGAACTGGCCACACGCCCTCTGCTTTGGTTTACTGGTCCTGAGCTTCTGATTCCAAAGGGTGTTGAGAGCCCCCGTGTGAAACTCCACCTGCTTGGAGGCTCCTCTGCATTCTCTCTCCCTCCAAGCCTGACGCCCGCCATGCTCACACCTTGCACACATCCACACAAATGCACGCGCAGCCTGTCCTTTTCTCACACCAATGGCCACACAACAGAAACGCTCCCTGGGCCTTCTTCCCCATTAACCCGGATGCTGTGCAGGCTGTTCCTTATCAAACCTCGAGCTCCCGTAAACCTTTAGTGCTTCCAGCAAAGGCACTTCACGTGTGCAGGCGCCAGTCTCTGTTGGTGGCTGCTGTCCATGGCTGTCCCCGTTAAGCTGTGTGCTTCACCCCCTCCCTCTTTCTCATCTGCTCTGCTCCAGAGTAAACTGAAAAATGAAGAAAGGTTGAACTGGGGTTACCAGAAAAAAGATAGCTTTGAAATGTTTACAGATAATAAAATAACTCTACATGCGCTCGCACAAAACAATGCAACATAATGGTGCTGTTGACTGAAAAAATATTCACAACCTACAAGTTCAGAATTTTGTTTCATTCCCTGGGGATATTTGGGCTTCCTAGGTGGTGCTAGTGGTAGAGAACCTGCCTGCTAATGCAGGAGACTCAAGAGATGCGGATTCAATCCCTGAGTTCGGAAGATCCCCTGGAGTAGGAGATGGCAGCTCATGCCAATATTCTTGCCTTGGGAGTTTCATTGACAGAGGAGCCTGGCAGGCTACAGTCCATGAGGACGCAAAGAGTCAGACATGACTAAGCACACACAAAAGTTGAGTTATGTTTTATTCAGTGTGAGTTTGTAGGACTTCAAGCCTGGGAGAAACATTGAGAAAACTGCTACAAGGAGGGGAGGAGAGGAGGGGGGTTATATAGAAGTTTTGCAACAAAGAGCAGGTAGTCTGAACATCAAAAGATTATTGTTAATTAAAGAAAACCAGATAGCCCAGGTTAAGGCTATCTGGTTAAGGTTAAGGAGTTTCGTGGTTTTCCAAGTGTGGGAAGATGAAAGAGTCTGGGCTCGCTGAAATCATTCCTTTCGTGTGCCTGTCACTCCCTGGGGCCAGTGCCCTTCCTTTCCCACTGGGACTGGTACCCTGGGATCGCAGGTGTTGCTCTCCTTCCTGGGTGCCCTGGAGGGCAGGTGGCACTTTAGACTGTGGCTCCTTGTTTATTGATGTGGCAGAAAACATTCCATTCTCAGAAGGGAGGGTGTTCTAGGCCACGAGCTGGGGATGAAGTGAGGTGCTGGAGGGAGAGGCAGAGGCCAGTGTGGGCCAGTATGTAGCACCCTGTGTGCGTGGGGAGGACCGTTTGGCTCTGCTGGGATGATGGAGACAGCCCAGGTCTACGAGTGTGTGACTGGGGCACCATTCCTCCCACCTTGAGTTGGGTGGAGGTGGGGGATGGCCACAGCTCCATCGAGACACGGCTAGTCCGTGCCCTGGCGTAGAGGGCAGAGGACCTCGGTGGGGAGCTTGGCCTGGTAGAGTGGCTGGCCACACAAGTGGAACCCAGGCTCCCCAGGCAGGGCTGCAGGACCCCTGCTTCTGGGAGACACGGCCTGTGGCTGGTCCCTCTGTCTCTGGGGGCTCCTGGCATCCAGGTCAGAACCCACTTGAGCCTCTTGGGTCCAGGGATGGGTTGGGGGGGAGTGATCACTGAGTGAATGGTGGTATCTCCTGAAGGCAAGACTGGAGGGGGTGAGGGGTCATTCCTGGTGAAGGAAGCTCACTGCCAGGCTCTAACCTGAGCAGGCTGGTGGGGAGGGGGTTGCTCCCCCATGTCTGCCCCGCACTGGGGACCCCCCAGCCCCATGTGTAGGCGTCCCTTCCCCCATTCGCTGCTGACTGTAGGGGTGGGGCTGGATGCAGTCCTTTACTTTGGTGATTTAGGGAACATGGTTTTAAGCGACCCAGTCTTAGTCTGGGGAGCTGCAGAATCGGGCTGTCTGAAGCCCGGGCTGGTGGCCATGTGTGGATGCGCCTGCTCTGTGCCTGGCACTGTGCTGGAGTGCAGAGGTCAAGGGCACAGAGGCAGGCCCGCTCTCAGAGGGTTTTGGGGCAGAGTGACCTGCTGCTCTCCTCTCTGGTCCTCAGACAGACCAGGCAATCCCTGCACAGAGTGTCCCCCCCCCCCCCCCCCGGCCCTCCATGAGCTTACTCAGTGAGCCACCTCCCCACCCCACCATCCAGGGCTTTCCTGGGGGGCCAAACCTTCCCCACCTTCCTCTTTACCCAGCTTTATCTTCTAGTAGCCCTGGCCCCCTCCCCCGGCCAGTAGACTGTCAGCTGCCTGAGGGCTGGGGGCTCTCTGTTTGCCTCTTAGGGTGCTGTCTTTTCAAGAACCCGGTACACAGAAAACCTGCAATGAAATTCTGTTAGGCTGCAAGGTTTCCCCAAGGGTCAGGACCTTCTGCCACTGCTTTCCAATGCCATGCTGAGTTCAGCTAGAGTGTTTAGACAGGGACGGAAGAAGCAAGACTTTGCTCACAGATGGCGTGATCCTGTATGTGGAGAATCCCTGAGAAAGCTCTGTGCGTGCATAAATGAATGTAGCAGCATAGGAGAACACAAGATCAACACTCAGACATGAGTTGTGTTTCCATATTCCAGCCACGCACAGTCCAGCTTGGGAATTAATGGGCAGTTCCATTCACGATGGCATTGAATAGAACAGATATCCAGGAAAGGGGTGACGTCGTGGGAGATGGCCAAGCAAGAAGACCCGGGAGTCAGTCTCTCCACCAGAATGACTCTCCAGCAGGCAGGCGCTGTCAGGACCCCGGACAGGAACTCTGCAGCTTCCAGGAGTGAAGTTAATGCCGAGGCGGGGGGGGGGGGGGGATTCCGGGGGATTCTGGCATTTTCTGGCATGGCTACCAGCCTCCAGCCTCCAGTCCAGTGGCAGTGGGGAGGGCGGCCTGAGTTCCTGGTGTGGCTTGCTGGTGCCAGTGTTGCAAGGAGAAGTCAGTTCTGACTCCATGTTGAAACTGTTTCTTTGACTTGCTTTCCGTCACTTTTGCTATTATCATATGGAACAGCCTGCCTCAGAGAATCCTGCCTCTCTGCCTGACTGTTAAACATGTGCCTTGGTTCAGAACTCTGTCCACCTGTGGATGGCAAGGAAGAAACGGAGACATCCCCCTGCCTTAGGCTTGCCATTCTAGGAGATGTTTGCAAGATTAATGGCCTTTATTACGTTGCTTCCTCATCTCCTGCCATCTCTGATCTATCAAAGAACCTGGCATCCAGACCCCATTGTGTTGTTCATTCTCTCAATTGTGTCTGACTCTCTGCAACCCCATGGACTGCAGCACACCAGGCCTCCCTGTCCATCACCAGTTCCCAGAGTTTGCTCAAACTCACGTCCATCGAGTCGGTGATGTCATCCAACCTTCTCATCCTCTGTCATCCCCTTCTCCTCCTGCCTTCCCAGCATCAGGGTCTTTTCCAGACCCCACAAGATGGTTATTTTGAGGTGCTAGCCTACCGTCATCTTGACCTGCCTGCTCCCTGATTCCCGCAGCCCCTTGTCTCTCAGGTTCATTGGGCTCTTGTGCGGCAAGCAGAACTAGTTGCACTTGGAAACACCAGGGTGGACAGCAAGGGTTGTCCTCCAAGTTGGGCTGTCTGATTGCTGAAGGGCCACACACAGGCTGGAGCCACTTCCCTGCCACGTCTGTTGGCGGGAATTTAGAAACGGGACACCTTCTCTTGCTTTGGAGCCAGAGTCTTAAGGAAATCTTTTTTACAAAGTTTATTTATAGATTTATTTTTGGAGAAAACCCAACCCCCATCGCAGCCCCATCGAGGAGCACAGATGCACGCCTTTCTCTCGTGGCACCTGGGCCATGGGAGTTTCTGGAGGGCAAGGGTGCCCAGGGGTTTGGGGCAGGTGGGCATCGGGCCCAGCCTTGCTGTTGCCACCTCCCATGTCTCGGTTTCCTTGACGACTGAGAAGCAGCAGCGTCTCCCGAGTCTTGTGGGGACCGCTTCAGAGCTGACCCAGGGAGGCCCGGGGTGGGGTGAGCTCCCGCAGTCCTGGACAGGCAGCACCGGGGAGATGCTGGGAAGAACCCAGATGAAGGGAGGGTGTGTGGGCAGGTGCCATGACAGCGAGAAAGGCACCGCAAAGAGGGACAAGGAGTCCGCACAGCGGGCCTCAGGGGTCAGGGCCTGGGGGGCCGTGGGGTCTGGTGAGGACAGGTGCTGAGCGGAGGAGGAGGGCCTGGCCGTGGGTCTGGGGATGCTTGAGGCCCCGATTTTGCTGAGCTCCAGGCTCCTGTAGGGCCTCTGGGGGACGCATGGTGAGTTGTGCAGCGTTGGGGGATTCAATGCTGATGCGGGGTCATCTCCACAGACCAAGTGGCCAGCGGGTGACAGCAGCCACCCGCCTGCTCTCTCCCTTTGTTGTCTGCCTGCCTCAGAGGGTGCCGTGGTGTCAGCTGACAGGGGAACAGCAGGGAGGGGGGTCTCCGTGTCTTCCACTGCAGCCCCCGGAGGCCTGAGGAGGCTCCTAGCAGAAAGGTTGGCTGGGCAGGCATCAGAGGCTCAGAGCCTGTGGCCTCTGTGAAAAACCGTCCTGCTCTGTCCTCAGGAGCAAAGGGGAGGGGTGCCCAAGGGGAGTCACAGGATGCCTTCATGGCTCAGGCACATGTGCTGGAACTTTTGTGGCCCTTTTTTTTTGCTCAGTTCTCAAAACTTCCTGGCAAAGTCAGTATAATCATCTCAGGTGTGGGAGCTCAGGGTCATCTGGCAGGTGAGACCCCAGGGCTGGAGCCTCTGAAGTCTCCCTGGCCTGATGCCACGTGCATAGCTGTCCCAAGCTGCTGAGTCTTGTGCTGTGGCTGCCACTTCTGTGTCTCCCCAGAGCATGGCCCAGAATCCACGGACAACAGTTCTTCAGTCACTGAAGAAAAGAAGAAGCGTGCAAAAAAAGGCAAAGGTAATTCTGGACCTGGGAGTGCAAGTCCTGTCGTGGGAGGCAAGCGCTCACCCTCAGGCCCCAGAAGGCCTCAGACGTAGCTTCTGGTGGGAAGGACAGTGAGAAAAGTTTCTGTTTTCATTAGAAACTGGATTACTGAAACCTGAAATAATAGTAACGTAAGCAACAAGGTAGGATTTATTTTTCCTCCAGTAATGAGAAGTGTGGGAGGCAGGCCAGGGCTCTGTGGAGCTTTACCAAAATCAGTCCCACAAAATCTTCCAGGTGACCAGGTTCTAAGTCTTTCTGCTCCAGCATCTTTACTTTCGGGTCTTTCAACCATAAGTTTGTTGCCTGGTCATAGAATGGCTATAGCAGCTCCAGCCGTCACATCTGCTTCCAGACAGGGAGAAGGAGGAAAGGGAAGGGCTAACTCAGCCATCCTTGGGAAAAGATCTTCCCTGGAAGCCCCACCCAACTGTTTCTTGCCACACTCCATTTGTTGTGGGACCATCAGTATCTGCAAGGGAGGCTGAGAAATGCGGCTTTTCAGGGAGTCGCAAGGTTGCCACCTGTTAGGGGATAGAAGGGATGCATCTGGCAGCACATGCCTCGTCCTCTGGGCCCTGCTGTGTCTTCCACGCCTTGGCTTCCTGGATTCCCTCCTGGTTCTTCGGCTGTCCCCACCCCCAACCCGGCCCCGCAAGCCAGTCTGCCCCTCCTGCAGAGGTGTGCAGCTCTGAGCGTGTTCCCTGAGCCTGTCCTTCCCTGGCCAAGCTCCCGCCCTGGGGTTGGGCTTCCCCGTCCACCCTGCCCACCCCCACTTCCTCTTTCTTTTAGTTATCAAAATCCAAACCTGCCTAGTCGAGACTGAAGGTCAGTGAACTCATCACCAGATAGGAAGCAGACAAAATTTTGCATTTGCTTCACCTACCCTTCTTCTCTTTTTTCTTTTTTTTGTCTTTGCCAGAATATTTTACTGTTTCTAACTTTGTTGTTTTTTGCAGTGTAGTTGGTTTGCACTGTTGTGCTGCATAGCACAGTGACTCAGCTACACATGCACACACATTCTCTTTTGTGTTCTTTCCATTATGGTTCATCCCAGGGTACTGACTATCCAGGCTGCACAGTGAGAGTGTTGCTCACTCAGTCATGTCTGACCCTTTGCGACCCCGTGGACCGCAGCACGCCAGGCTCCTCTGTCCATGGGATTCTCCAGGCAAGAGTACTGGGGTAGGTTACCATTTCCTCCTCCAGGGGATCTTCCTGACCCAGGGATCAAACCTGCATCTCTTACATCTCCTGCATTGAAAGGTGGGTTCTTTACCACTAGTACCACCTGGGAAGCCCTTTCTTGGCTGCACTGGGTTTTAGCTGGGCACACGAGATCTTTTGTCTTCATTGTGGCATGCAGGGTCTCTAGTTGGCAGCACGTGAACCCTTAGTTTTGACATGTGTGATCTGGTTCCCTGACCAGGGTTCGAACCCGGGCCCCCTCCATTGGCAGCACAGAGACTTAGCCACTGGACCACCAGGGAAGTCCCTGTGGCATATGTGAGCTGCCACGTCTAAGTGATATCGTAAGGTTTTTGTCTTTTTCATTCCAACTTCACTTAGTGTGATAATCTCTGGTTGCATCCACATTGCTACAGATTTTGCCAGGATAAACTCCAGATGTTATTTCATTCCTGCAGTGTGCATTTTTCAAATATCAGGATCTTTCTCACACGCCCAGAAGCAGTTAACCAGACCATCATCAGATTTACCCAGTTGTCTCAGGAATGTCTTCCCACAGAAGATTTGTTCTCATCCAAAGACGGTTGAGATCTGAGCACCTTCAGTCTTGTTTAACCAAGCAGAGTTGCCTCCACATCCTTTTGTTCTCTGTGCTTCGCTGGTGGAGAAATAGTATTACTTATCCTATAGCACGTCCCTGTGGTGAACACATCTGTTCCCTTCCTGGTGGTGTCACTGAGGCTGTTTCTGTGGGTCCTGCATTTCCTCTGGCTCAGCGTTAACCAGGATGCCTGAGCGGGCCCGTGTCTGCCTGTGTGTGCACAGACCGCTTTCCCGCTGTGCTCTGTGCTTTCAGTGGCCTCCCTGGGAGCCACCTGTGAGCAGTGGGCTCAGCCTGACTCTGCATTGCTGATCCCAGCTGTTCTCCTGACAGTTTCTTCTACCCATGATGCTTGCATTGAGCTGAGCATGACATTAGCGGCCAGAGGTCTGCATTGTGGCTTGTCTGTCTGTCTTCATTGAGGTACCATTCCTATGCAGTGCAATGACAAACCTCCAGGTTACAGTTTGATGCATTTTGATAAATGTGTACAACTCGGTGTACAGCCTCCACCCTGTTTGCCGTCTAGAACGTTTCCCTCCTTTCTCCTGAGGATGGCCGATGGTCTGCTGTCCCCTTCAGTTCAGTTCAGTTCAGTTCAGTTCAGTTGCTCAGTCGTGTCCGACTCTTTGCGACCCCATGGACAGCAGCATGCCAGTCCTCCCTGTCCATCACCAACTCCTGGAGTTTACTTAAACTCATGTCCATCGAGTCGGTAATGCCATCCAACCCTCTCATCCTCTGTTGTACCCTTCTCCCACCGTCAGTCTTTCCCAGCATTAGGGTCTTTTCAAATGAGTCAGTTCTTTGCATCAGGTGGCCAAAGTATTGGAGTTTCAGCTTCAGCATCAATCCTTCCAATAAATATTCAGGACTAATTTCCTTTAAGATGGACTGGTTGGATCTCCTTGCAGTTCAAGGGACCCTCAAGAGTCTTATCCAACACCAAAGTTCAAAAACATCCATTCTTCCATGCTCAGATTCCTTTATAGTCCAACTCTTACATCCATAACATGACTGACTACTGGAAAAACCATAGCCTGCTTGCCACTGGCCAGCTGCTGGGCACCCTTGGAGCCCCTGAAGCTCCCCTTCTGTCCTTGCTCATCTCCCCACCAGTGACAGGGCTTCACTGGTGGCAGGAGCCCCCCTCCCTTCAGCCTCCCCAGAGTACAGGTCCTGTCCCCCTCCTCTTCCTTCTTTCTTTCATCCTGCCTGGTCACGCGGGATCCTTTCAGGTGTCTGAGGTCCTGGCTGGCTCAGCAGGTGCTCTGTGACAACCCTTCCATTTGCATGTGCATCGTGCAAACGCATCACTGATGCATTTGTGGGGAGAGATGGACTCTGCGTCGTCCTCCTCATCCACTACCTGCTTTTCTGAGGCTGTTTCCCCCACGCGTACTGGGAGGACCAGAACTGCTGCTGGGATGTTAAACTTTAGAACTTGTCACTGAACATCTACCAGAGAGACTATTCCAGCTCACAGCCCACCACCAGGTTGTGAGGGCTCCGGTCACTTCACGCCGTTCCAGCCCTGGGCACTAGTCCTTCCTTTCTGGGTTACCTGGGCCGCTGCGCATGCGTTAGCATCCCGTGTTCCCCGTGACCAGCGAGAGGGACGAGCTGTGTTTATGGGGTATTGATGATTCTGTGCCATGAAGCCCCTGCCTTCTGCCCACCACTTTTCTACTCTGTTGTCTGTTTCCTTATTTTAATAATTCCTGGGCTTCCCTGGTGGCTCAATGGTAAAGAATCTGCCTGCTAATGCAAGAGATGCAAATTTGATTCCTAGGTCAGGAAGGTCTCCTGGAGAAGGAAACAGCCAATCCATTCCCATATTCTTGCCTGGGAAGTCCCATGGACAGAGTCCATGCGTTCGCAAAGAGTCAGACACAACTGAGCATGTACAATTTTCCTTTTACTTTGAAGATTTTTTTTTTAAATGATGAACCCTGTTTCTTCTAAATCAAGGGTAGTAGGAAAGCAACTATATTTTTAAGCTGTTAGGTTGGAGCCCCCTGGGTTCCGTTTTCTCTGACACCTGTTGAGCTGGGCTGTGGGCACATCTCTCTTATGCCTGGGAAGGGGGCAACAGGCTTGGAGTCCTTGGCAGCCCCAATCTCCCAGCATCCAGGCACTCTGTCATCCCTGCTCCCGGTGGCTCCTGCAGGGATGAAGCTGCTTTGCTGGCCTCCCCAACCCCTGCAGGCAGGTGCCGCACACTCCAGGGTCAGTTGGTTGCATCGCTTACAAAGGGCAGGTGGAACTTCTCTTCCTTATGGCCTTGAGGTTCCTGAGACTAAACGCGAGGACAGAGGGCCAGGAATGTAGCTATATCGGAGACACAGGAAGGTCTGTGTTCACATGGTCTCTCAGATGCCAGGGATGGAAGGTAAACAGGCTAAACCAGGCAGGTAAGTTTATAGAGCTGGGAGGTCCAGGCGCAGACTTCAGGCACAGCTGGGTCTGAGAGAGTGTCTGCTGTTCGTGCGTGCTTTCGTGGGTGCTCCCTCTCTGGGCGGCTGGGACGCCGGGACCCTGCAGGCACAGGTAACCCCTGATTCTCTAACGGGACCTCTCTCTCCCCAGTGTCCAAGACTGCTCCTGACCAGCCTGTGAACCCTTTCCACGTATCTGGGGATGTGGACTTCTTTTTGCTCAGGGAACAGGAGCGGAACAAGTCTCTCTTGGTGAGCATCTGGGGGAGCCTGCCCGCCTCGGCCAGAGCGCTGGTCCCTGGCCCTCTGGCTCTAGGACAGTCGATGGCTCACACTGCCTGCGAAGGAGCCTCGACGCCACCTGGCCCTAGGGCCCTCACCCTACTCGTACACCCGCTTCACCACCGCCGTTCCTGGGCTCTCGTCAGGGGGACCCCCAGGGAGTGTCTGTCCCAGAGCCTTAGCCAGTGTGCCTTAGCTTCTGCGGAACTGGTCCAGACGCCATCCCCTCCCGACACCCTCTCTGACCCCCAGGCCCTAGGAGACCCCCCGCGTGCTCTAACCTCGCACAGTCCCCTTTCACTGGACTTCTTGGGGGCCAGACATGTGCACACACATGTGTGCACACTGCGTGTGTACACACACAGCTGCATCTCTGCAGCGCCTGGGAGTCCCAGGATCAGCCCTGTCCCCCAGCACACGCCGTGTCTGCACGCCAGCAGAGTCTCTTTCACCCCCATGTGCCCAGCTGGTCCCACTCCCCCCAATGCCCTGCAGTATGACGGACCTCACCCTGCCAGGCTGAGGGGACTCACCCAGTGAGCCATGTTTCTGGGACACGTGGTCAGAGGCACAGGCATGGCCAGTGTCCTGGGCTCCCTCTGGGGCTGCCTGTGTCCCCCCAGCTCAGGGCTCACCCTCTGAGATCCCTCAGGCAGCAGCTCCCTCTGCCACCCTGATCAAGACCGAGGACACTCGGGGACGGATAGGCCCTCTGGCTCCACCCCAGACCTGGTCAGGATTCCATGGGTGCCAGTCATGCTCCCACCTCCCGCCTGGACGGAGGGGTGACAGACCCTGAGCCCATCTGAGCAGTGTTAGAGGTAGTGCACCTGCACATGCATGCACACACATGTGCACACATGCACTGTCATGCCCACACACTCTTAAACACACAGACACATGTGCACACCCCCGCACATGACCGCACACACTCACACACATGTGTGCACTCATACACATTCATGCACAGACACACTCACACACCCATGCACATGCACACACACACATGTACACTCACACACATTCACACACAGAGACACTCACACACCCACACGTGCACATACTCACCCCACCCCCGCCCGACACACGATCCCCCTTCATCCAGCGGCAGCACAGCCTGGACTTCCTTCTCCCAGCCTGGACCGGCCTCAGGGACCTTCTGCCTTCCTTCAGGGTCCCCTGCCCGCCCTTAGCATCCCACCCCCTAGCACAGCCCCAGCCTCCTCACACTGAGGAGCCTCCCAGTGCCCTCAAACTGCAGACCTTTTCCCACTGGAATCCTCGCAGGTGACACTTTCCTAGTTTTATTGTACCAGGATGCACAAATCAGGGCCCACCACACATTGGAGGGGAACAGCCGTTGTTACTGGCAGGACCAGCGGGATGTCGGATTTGACCGGGGGACGTCACATGCAGGCTCGAGCCAGCGACATCCCCAGGGCCTGGGCAGCAGGAGGGGTGGACATTAGGCCACCGGGAAGAAGGCCCCCCACCCCACCCTGTCCTGAGACCCCCCCAAGTGAAGGGTTTGGGCGCTGCAGATCCCCAGTGACCCCCAGCCCCAGGTCACCCCCAGTAAGTAGTGGGCTTCCTGATCAAACCTGGAAACTCTGAGGATCCACCTTCTCTGAGCCTTGGTTTGTCAGATTTAGAAATCACAGCCCAAGACACTCAGTTTAAGTGTAACCTTTGGACAGACGAGGCAGTGAGCATGTCCCTGCACCCCTGGACTGGAATCGCTTCTGATCAGGGTTCCCCAGTTCCTCCGGTGCCCTGCCTACCTGCACCCTGTTCTCCGCAGGGAGATGCCCCTCACCCCGAGCGCTTCCCCCCTGCACAGAGCACACGCACGGGCCCCCACACCCCTCCAAGTGTGTGCCTCCGCCTGTGCCACCTCACACTCCGCAACCCCTACGGGACAGGCGGTGGGGAGGGTCGGGCGCAGTCCGTCCGTCCCCGCTGACCCTGCCCTCCCGCCCGCCACCCGCAGGACCGGGAGCAGAAGAAGAAGCTGCGGGTGCACGAGAAGATGACCTACTCGTCCAAAGTGTCCGCCAAGCACACCAGCCTGCGCCGTGAGCTGCAGCTGGAGGACGAGATGGAGGATCAGGAAGAGCGGGCTGAGCAGCTGCGCAGCTTCCACGAGCAGGTGGCCTGGAAGCTCGCCATGACCCGAGGTGCGCCCTGTCCCCTGCCCCGTCCCCCGCCCTGGTCCCCAGGCCCGCCTTTGCCCTTCCTGTAGGAGCAGCGCTTTTAGTGGGCTTGAGCCATGTGGGGCCGTGGTGCGGGGTGTGTGTGTGTGGTGGGGGCAATGGGTCTTCCTTATGCCCAACCTCTGCCTCCCAGGCCCCAAAGGTCAGTTCCAGATGGACTGCCAACCTCGCAGCCTTTAAAACAGCCTTTAATGCCATCGGAATGCTGACCTGCACCGCGAGTGCAGGCTTCACTGTGTATCAAATACAGGCATCTCCCTTGGCTTGTCTGTCCTGGTCAAGTCAGCTTTACCCTGTTTCTGCCTCTTCTGCTAACTAGCCTCGTGGGTCCTGGGATTCAGTGTCTTCACACACTGCGCGTGGTGAGAGGGAGCTGTGTGTGTGAGCTGTTGTTATTTTCGTCACCCTGTAAGGCGTCTGAAGGGCTTCCCTGGTGGCTCAGATGGTAAGGAAACTGCCTGCAACACAGGAGACCTGGGTTTGATTTCTGGGTTGGAAGGATACCCTGGAGTAAGGCATGGCAACCCACTCCAGTAGTCTTGCCTGGAGAATCCCATGGACAGACGAGCCTGGTGGATGGGCTACAGTCCATGGGGTCACAAAGAGTTGGACATGACTGAGGGACAAAACAAGGAAGTCTGAAGTACTAAACACATGTATCAGTGTTCTACTGATGAAGTATAAGCCCGTAAGCTGGAGAGAAGCAGTCGAGGTCAGAGTCCCGGACCCCTTGGGCCACAGAGGCCCTGAATGTGACCATGGCGAGACCCCAGCCTCTGCCGCTGACGCCGCGGCTTGTGATGCGGGTGGGAAGCCTTGAACATCTTTGACGTGTCGACTGTGGGGCTCTGCCTGCGTCTTGTCTCTGCCGCCACCGCCCATTGTTGTTGAGACCTGGGAGCAGCAGGGGGCATCTGAGCGGGCAAGACTGGGCCCAGCAGATCTGACTTGCTTGAGGAGCTCAGGGCGGCTAGGCCAGGTGTCTCGACTTAAAACAGACCTCCTGGACCACGGCACGTACTTCTGGAAAGGAGCGGCTTTGAGGGACAAGGCCGAGAGCCCACAGTTGCATCCACAGTGGGGGCGCCCCAGCCCGTGCTCTCAGAAAGGCCGGGAAAGAGGCCCCATGGGCCTTGACCCCAGCTGCAATGCCTCGCTGCTCGTGCTCCAGAAGGCGGCCCTGATGCCCACCCCCGTTTCCTCCCACCCGGCTGAACCCTGCCAGGGTGGGCTTAGCCTCTGGAGGCTTGTGTGTGTGCTCAGATGCTCAGTCGCACCCAACTCTCGGTGACCCCGTGGACTGTGGCCCACCAGGCTCCTCTGTCCGTGGGAGCTCCCAGCAAGAACACCGGAGTGGGTTGCCATTTCCTTCTTCAGGGGATCTTCCCGACCCAGGGATCGAACCTGTGTCTCTTGCATCTCCTGCCTTGGCAGGTGGATTCTTTACCATTAGTGCCACCTGGGAAGCCTTGCTGGAGGCTTAGGGTGCCCCAACTAGAGATCTTGCTGCCCTGTTTTCTCTCTCACCACCCCATCCTGTTACTGTCTTGGCCAATAGACCTTTCATCATGACATTCAGCCAGGTGAAACTTCCAGGGTGGGGTGTCCAGAGCCTCATTCTAGGGAGAAGGGTGCTACAAGCAAGAGAGACTCAAGTCAGACCCAAGGAAGGACTTCCTACCTGGCCAGACTCCAGCCATGGAGACTGCTCTGTATCTGCACAGCCTGGAGGCAGAGCTTGCTCCATCGTGGTCCCTATCATGACCCGGGCCTCAGGGTGGACGTAGCGCACCGCCTGACTCCAGGTCCCTGGCCACCGCCTGGGAGGGTCGCTCCCGCTGTCCTCCCGCCCCCAGATGCCTTGTGCCTCTCCCTGCAGAAAAGAAGCTGGAGCCCAATGACATCAACAGCTACGTGGACCAGAACCGGCAGATGTTTCTCATCCAGGTAGGCTGGCTGCCCCGTGGGCCCTGCGCCCCATCCCCGCAGGGCCCTCATGATGCCGCTCCCTCCCTCAGTACGCCCTGGACATGAAGCGGAGTGAGATCCAGAGGCTGGAGAGGCTGGCGGCCCAGGAGGAAGCCGAGCTGGAGCGGGCGGAGAAGTTCCTAGAGAAGGATGCAGCCCTGTTTGACGAGTTCCTCAGGGAGAACGACCGCAGCTCTGTGCAGGCGCTGAGAACGTGAGCCCCAGGCCCGCACGCCCACCACTCCCCCAGCCCACCTGCAGCGGCCATGGACAGACCCCCGCCCTCAGCTCAGGCCCCTGCTTGGCAGCTCCCCCTGCCTGCAGCCCTGACTGAAGGCAGTGTGGATGCTCCCCTGAGCCCCCTCCTCTCCGCCCCCCTCCCCCAGAGCTGACAAGGAGTCCAAAGCCAAGATGGAGAAGATCCTGGAGATTCGTGAGCTGACCACCCAGATCATGAACATCAAGAGGTGAGTTCAGGGGGCGCACTGGCTCCGCTGTGCCCACCAGTGTGTCTCCCGGAGCCCAGGGAGCTCCTCATGGCACACAGCTCTGCACCCGATCATGTCTGGGAGCCCCAGCCCTGCAGGTGACCGAGGCCGGGACACGGGGCAGGGCTCACCCTGAGGTCCCTCTGCCCTAGGAGCGGCGGTGACTGGGGGACTGAGCTGCGCCGTCCCGCAGGCCAGCCCTCTCGCCTGCACACAGGGTCTGGGTCGCCTCCCCTCTGAGGGTCCTAGGGATGGAGCCTGACCTTGCCCGTTCCCTCCTGGGTGCAGCGAAATCTCCAAATTTGAGGACATGCTGCAGCAGTACAAGGTCTACAAGGACTTCCTGTACAAGCTGTCGCCCAAGGAGTGGCTGGAGGAGCAGGAGAAGAAGCGCTTGGCTCTTAAACAGGCCAAGGAGGTGGTGGAGGCCTTCAAGGAGAGCCTGCTGCTCTCTGTGGGGGACAGAGGTAGCAGGGAGGGGTGGATGCACCCGTGTCCCCTGGCCAGGCCTCCCCATCCCCGAGAGCCACCCCCAACCCCCACCGCTCAGCCCACACACTGGGAGGTTGTGTTGCTCCCACACACTGGGAGCTCTCCGAGCAGGCCTACTGCTTGGGGAGACCCCAGGCGAGTGCCTGGGACCCTGAGCCTCTCCTGGCTTCCCACAGGATCAGAGACCAAGGGCAGGCTGAACTCCAGAGGTATGTGGTGGCCCCTGGCTGGAGGGGCCCTGCTGTGGGCTGGGGGGGGGGTGGGCAGGTGTACAGCCCCCCTCTGCTTCCCCCAGAGGGGCAGAGCCCCAAGAAGCCCGCCAAGCTCCTGCAGGTGATGCGGCTGCGCCAGGCACTGTCCACCACTGTCAGCCAGCAGCAGAGCACCCTGCCCAGCGTGTCCAGCGGGGTGGAGTCCAAAAGGTGAGTGGGCATGGGGAGGGGGTGATGGAGGAGGCTGGCCTGCTGGGTGGCGGCCCCCAATGGCACCAGCTCGGGGTGCCTGGATCAGGGGAGAGGCTGAGGAAGGGCCGTGTCCAGCCTGGAGGGTCTAGAGTTCAACATAAGCCTGAGAATCACGGTGTTTCCTGAGCAGACACTTACGTTTGTGTCATTTGGTGAACTTGAGCTTGGGGTGGCCCACGTGGGTGCTGGTGGGACAGTCACAGGTGCACGGAGGAGGCAGCGGGGGGTGCTTGGGAGAGGACCCTCCTGCCGTGACCTTCAGAGCCCGGAGTGCTGGCTGGGGGGCTGGCAGAGCCCCTGTACCGTGAAAGGGAAGCAGGAAGTCTGGATTTTCATATAGAATTTCCCAAACTTTAATTGTGACAGTTATTTTCAAGTCTTATGGAAAACACAGCTGGACCAGATCCAGCCCAGGTGACTCACCCCGTAGCCCCTGCAACACCCCCTCAGGGACCACCGAGCCACCCTGGGACCTGTCCTGAATGTCTTCCTGTGATTCCCTGACACCCCGCCCTCCCCGCCACATGCTGTGATGACTGACCACAGGACAGGCCTGCTCCACCGCCGCCTCCGGGGCCCCCCCGCTCCTCCAGCGCCGTCACTGTGCGCCCCAGCCTCTCCGGGCGGGCTGCCCACGAGATGCGGAGGGGCGGGAGCGCCTGGCAGCCAGCCAGGCAGGGCTGCACCCTGGCTCTGCCTCGAGTCCCCGCCCTGGGGTCTGGGGCTGCATAGGCCGGGAGGTTTCAGCAGGGCACCGACACGATCAGACTTGGATCTCGTACCTTTTTCTCTGATTTCAAGCGCACAGGCCAGGCACGTGCAGAGGTTAGCTCTGGTCCCATAATCCCTCCGGGCCGGGCTGTGGTCTCCAGCTCTGGGGTCGGATGCGCGTGCCTCCTCTGGCGAGGTGCCCTCAGCCTTGGAGCTCCCAGCAGCAGGGAAGGTCCCTGGGAGCAAAGGTCTGGGACCTCTGCCTGCCAGCCCTGTGATCACGGCCACTGTGCACATTTGGGCAGGTCGCGGGCTGTACAAGGCACTTGGCCAGGAGGGCGAGTCGGAGCTAAAGTCCAGCCTGGCCCCAGGCTATGTCCTCTTGGAAGGAAGAGTCTTAGAAGGGCACCTTCCAGGCCAAGAGTGCCCTTGGGCAGGTGACTGGCTTTCTGAGCGGCAGGTTTCTCCTGTGCCGATTCAATGGCATCTGTGTGTATGTGGCTTCCCTGGTGGCTCAGATGGTAAATCTGCCTGCTGATGCAGGAGATGCAGGTTCAGTTCCTGGTTTGGGAATATCCCCTGGAGGAGGAAATGACAATCCACTCCAGTATTCTTGCCTGAGAAATCCCGTGGACAGAGGAGCCTGGTGGGCTGTAGTCCACGGGGTTGCAAAGAGTCAGACACGACTCAGTGACTATACAATAAAATCAATGTGCATACAGGTTTGAGGCACAGGCCTGGCGAGTGTGCTAGCTGTCAGCGGGGCCCTGTAATGCCAGCTCTGCACTTCAGGAAGGCTGGGCTGGAGTCTCTGAGGTCTCGGCCCAGCCTCCTGCAGCTGCAAGCCGGCCTCACCAGCTCAGGGGACGGCAGAGCCTGCACGTCTGCACAAGCTGCAGGCTGGGAGGGGTGACGGAAGCAGGACTGAGGTCGGCCAGGTTCCCCCAGTGCTTGCAGCCCTCACAGCCCTCCCTGTGGCCGCTGGGCTGTGATGTCCAGTAAGGTCCCTGACATGTGGCCTGAGTGTCACAGCAGCTGTGAGAGTGGCCAGCGATGACCTGTGCTAAGGAGGGAGCAGGGCAGGGAAGGCCCAGGTGTGAGGGAGAGAGTGGGGACCAGGGAGGGGCCTGGAAGGGGGAGCCATGGGTCTGAGGTCAGGTTGGCCCCTGGACTGCAGCAAGGAGCTGCTGGGGCTGGCAGCCTCGAGGTGGGAACCGCGCTTTATTCTAACAGAGTGAGAGGGACTGACCCGGCACCGCGTGACCGCTGGGGGCCGAGAGGAGGCTGGAGCCACAGCCTTGGCTGCCCGGGGGACAGAGGATGGGACGAGGGCTGCTTGGGGAGGTGCCCCAGGCCCCGACCCCGTGTCCCCGCAGGTCCAGCTCCACCCTCCCTGTGCAGGACGACCTCGACAGCGATGATGGGGAGGTGAGTGCCTGCTCCTGGCAGGGCCGCAGGGCCAGGCCCACTGCCCAGGGGCCTCACCCGGCTCTGCTCACAGGAGCTGGAGCTGTACTTCACGGATCCGCAGCAGCTCCTCGACGTCTTCACGAAGCTGGAGGAGCAGAACCTGTCCCTGGTCCAGAACACCCAGGAGATGGAGGAGGCCCTGGAGGAACTGAGCTTCACCCTGAAGAACACCCAGACCCGCATGTAGGTCTCAGGGAGGGGTCTGCTGCTGGGCAGCCCGCCTTGCCCTGTCCATGGTGCTGGCCCTGCCAGCTCTGGGGAGAAGCTGTGTCCTCTTGGGCCAGGAGCTGAGATTCAGAGTGGGCCAGGCAGGTGGAGCCCTGAGGGGCTGACCTCTCCCCATCCTGGAGCAGCCTGCAGCTGGAAGGGGGCATCTTCACAGACACCCCCAAGGTGGTTTTGTAATGATTATTTTACTGGCTCAGCAGCAAAGAATCTGCCTGCAATGCAGGAACTGCGGGTTCCATCCCTGGGTCAGGAAGATCCCCTGGAGGAGGAAATGGCAACCCACTCCAGTATTCTTACCTGGAGAATCCCATGGACGGAGGAGCCTGGTGGGCTGCAGTCCATGGGGTCGTAGAGTCCAACATGACTGAAGTGACTGGGCACATGCACATTTACTTTACTAATGATTATAATGACTAGCATTGTTATTTGTTATTTAAAGCAGTAATATGATCCAAGCTACTTGACTCTCCAGCCTTCGTCATGTAGTGTTTTCTGCCCAGCATTGGCTCAGAGTAAGTTTTCTGGAACAGAAAGAGGAGTCAGTTTTATTGCTGACACCAAGCCCTGCAGAGCCCGTTTGGGCAGGGTCCGGCTCCAGGTGAGGCCAGCTGGGAGCAGGGGATCACCTCTTTACTCCCAAACCTTGAGTAAGCCCCCATTCCGGATCAGGCTGGGGTCTGGGCCCTTCATGAATACGGTAAGCCCTGCCCCATGAGCTGGCAGCCCAGGGGAGCCGACTTAGATGTGCACAGATTTGCCTTGTGGGTAGTAACACATGCTAGGAGTAAAGTAAAGAGTCCTATGAGGAGGAGGTTGAAGTGGAGGTTGGCGGCAGATGGGAGAGGGTAGGGGAGGCTCCCAGGGGAAGGTGTCCTTTCAGCCACGGACTTCCTGAGTGATGGGACACCACAGGGAATCTTGGGGGAAGAGGGAAGCATGTGCAAAGGCCCTGATGGAGCCAGCCCACAGCTTTGACCACGTGTGTGCTCACGTCCTGTTGACTGACATCCTGCCTTGGATAATTTCCTACCAAGAGTCTCCAGAATAATGCCAAAACATGAGCTCTCAGGAAAGATTGTGTTTCCTGCCAGTGCAGGAGATGCTACAGACTCGGTTTTGATCTCTGAGTCGGGGAGACCCCCTGGAGAAGGGAACAGGTATTCTCGCCTGGATAGTCCCATGGACAGAGCAGCCTTGCAGGCTCCAGTCCATGAGGTCGCATAGAGTCGGATGTGACTGAGCACACACACAGTGTGGAAAAGGCATTTTTTTTTTAATCCCAAATACCTGGGAAAGAAATAGAAGAACAAAATTACCCGCCTCCCCCCCCATCTGGTCCATGTAAAAGGGGTGCTGGCTGCAGGGTCACTCTCGTGTCCAGGCACTGGACGTAGAGGAAGCTCTAAGGAGCAAGCTGGATTCCTGGCAGTGATGTACTGCTGGGAGATGTACTGCTGACTCTGCAGTGGGCACTCAGCATTGAGGGGAGGTCCGGCCTCTGTTCTTATCCTGGGTGACCTGCTTGCCCCCCATAAGGGCCCAGGCCTGGAGGGAGGGTGTGTGTGAGCTGCAGGTGGCCCCCCTGGCCACCTGCCTCTGAAAGCCTGGGAGGGCTGGCCAGACCAGCTCCGCCCCCCTCATACTCAGGCTCCCAGCCTCAGCCCCACAGCCATGGGGCTGTAGCCTGGAGGGCTGCCAGGGGGCGGAGGCCTGCACCCAGCACCCGTGCTCGTGACAGAGGGCAAAGGAGTGGCTCCCGTGGCACTCTGCCTAAACACAGGAAAATGTCGGTAGTTCTGTTCACCTGGGCAGAGCCTCAGAACCACGATAGGGAAAGGGGCACCTCTAGACCCCACAGGCACAGCTGGCTGAGTGACCAATGTCCTGCTCACTCTGGCCAGGACTGGCATGCCGCTGCCCACACTGGCCAGACCCATGCCAACTGTAAGAGCCAGGGTTCCTGCTCCAGAAACCCCAGCAGACAATGCATGTCTGCCATGAACACGAAAGACTTAAGAAAAATTTAATATGTTTCATAGAAAAGGTGATTGTTGCAATCCTATTCCTAGTGAAAGTGAAAGTCACTCACTCGTGTCCAACTCTTGCAACCCTGTAGACTATACAGTCCATGGGATTCTCCAGGCCAGAACACTGGAGTGGGTAGTCTGTCCCTTCTCCAGGGGATCTTCCCAACCCAGGTCTCCTGCATTGCAGGTGGATTCTTTACCAGCTGAGCCACAAGGTAAGCCCCTAAGAGGATTAAAAATTTGGGCTCGCAAAACCCTGTCCAGTGAACATCCACAGCAGCATTGTTCCCAAGAGATTAAAGGTAGAAACTGCCTGATGTCCACTGAAGAATGACTGTGGCAAAGCCTGGTCTCCCACACGGTGGGTCGTAAGAAGAAACAAGGCTCTGACCAGACATGTTACAGGACGGACAGAGCTGAAAACACAGTGATGGGTGGAAGAGCCAGACACAAAGGGACAGACGTCATGTGGCTCCGTGCTTATGTCCAGGAGAGACGGACTGGAGGGGGCGGGCGAGAGTGACTGGGGGCTTCTCTCCAGTTAATGACACTGTCCTGAAATTAGATTATGATGGTCATGAAAAAATTGGACATTTCGAAAGAACTTTATGGTGAATTATATACCTCAATAAGGCAGGTTTTGGTTTTTCCTTTTTTTTTTTTTCTTTAGCATGGACTGTTAAAGATGTTAGACTTGCCCTGCATCTCACCAGGGCCTCTGGGACTGGGGCTCTCGGCTCTCTGCTGCATGCTGCAGCAGGGCCAGCAGGCTCAGAGGTGCCGCTGCCCCTCAGGGACCGGGAGGTGAACCAGCTGAAGCAGTGGATCACCACGCTGATGATGTCCATCGCCAAGGAGGAGGAGACGGCCGCGGAGCTGGAGCTCAAAGCCCGCGTCTTCCATTTTGGCGAGTTCAAGGGTGATCAGGAGGTAGGGTCCCCAGATGGGCAGATGGCAGCGATGGGGCACGTGGCCATAGCCCCAGTGGAGGGTGGGAGTCATCCCTGCCAGAGGGGCCCAGACCTCAGGAGAGCCAGCCCGGAGGCACGTGGCTCTCCAGGGCTGCCATGGGCCTTGCCACCCGCCAGGCTCTGGGCTTGATCCATGGGCACTGCTGGGCAAGGCCCTTGGTCCCAAATCAGAGCCAGCCATATGTTCACACCCCGTGAATGGGCAGCTCCCCAACACCCCTCCTCTATCCCCCCTTCCTTCCGTGAACTCATCTTCTTCTTAAACCCTCAGTGTGTCCAGAAGTGACCCTTCAGGGAGGCAGGCAGGCACGTCCCCAGCCAGGCCGGGAGGGTAAGAGGGCTCAGAGCACAGAGCCCACGGGTCCAGGGCCTGCACCCAGCTTCCTAGTTCATTTGATTGCTGTTGAGAGTCTCCTGCCTGCCGGGCACTGGACCAAGTACCTGGAGCCCCAAGAGTGGGCTGGGCATCTACCCCCAGGCTACCGGGCGCCAGCCGTGCCTTGTGCCCCCGCCCCTCCCCCTACCCTCTTGGCCACCCCAGGGGATAGGGGTGTCGTGTCTTCTGAACATCAGAACAGACTGAGAGAGGGGAGGTCGTCTAGCCCAGCACTACAGAAAGCAGATCACAGGACGTGGTCCCGGGGGGAGCTGCGGTCAGCGCAGGGGCAGAGTAGGTCACGGGGCCTCAGTGGGCACCCTGGGTCCTGGCAGGAGCCCCAGCAGGCGCTGGGCCACAGAGGCCCAGGGCGCGGCCCTCTGCCCAAGAGAAGCCCGAGTGTCCAGCTCTGTGCCCCCCTGACTTACCGAGCACCCCTGCCAGCTTGGCAGGGCCCTGGGGGGTCAGCCAGCCGAGGCGTGGGGGCGGCCTGGGCCCGCGCAGCTCCGCTGGAGGGAGGCCTGCCCGCCTGACAGGACAAGCTGCTGGAGAGTCTGAACTGCAAGGTGCTGGATGTCTACCGGCACTGCGTGGGTGGCCAGCAGGAGTCCAGCCTGGGCACCGTGCAGATGCTGGCCACCATCGAGCACCAGCTGGACGAGCTGCTTGAGAACCTGGAGCGCGTGCCCCCGGCCCGCATTGAGCAGGCCGAGAAAGCCAAGGAGAAGGAGAGGCGCCTCCGGTGCGTGGGGAGGTCTTGCACACCCCTGCCAGCTCTGGGCTGGCCCTGAGGACAGGGACACACCCCGGGGCTTCCCACTGGGAGGGGGCATCTGGGGTTCAGATGGGGCCGCAGGCTCAGCCCAGTGGGGAAGCTCCCTCCACTGGGAGAGGCACGCGGTGGCATTAGGGACCCCGGGAGCAAAGTGATGGGTGACCCCCCCCCACCTCCCACACCCCGCCGCCAAGGAGAAGGGACAGCGAGAGGCACTTTCCCTGCAAAGAGCTGTACTGCCCGAGCCCAGGGAGGGAAACAGCCAGCCTGAGAGCTGCTGAAGGGGAATCAGCAAAGGGTGTGCCCCATGCGCCCGGTGGGGTGCAGGCCAGTTCCTGGTCACCTGGGTCATTCGCTCCCAGCAGAGTCCTGAGGCATGGCCATCTGTGAGCAGCCATGTCTTTCCCACACACAAGGGCTCTCCCCCTGGGTCCTCAGACCCTGCTCAGGCAGGCAGTGGACAAAGGTTTGGTGGCCTCAAGTACAGACAGGAGGACTCGGGACTACTGACCTTGCTGGGGCCTGGGCTTTCAAGGGTGGAGATACATCAGTGACCAAGGCGGGGAAGCCAGGAACCTGGGGCTCCGAGGGGAGATGAGCCCCAAGCCAGGCCCTCCCAAGCAACCAGGGCCAGAGCCAGGCCGGGACCCAGCGGGGAGGTGGGACGGAGCGGCGCCGAGGCCTGAGGCTGCGCTGGGGAGGAGCTGGTGGCATTCTCCGGGCCTCCGGTTGCTAACCTCGACCTTCTGCATCCAGACTCCGGGAAGAGAAGGCGAAGCTGCAGAAACAGCTGCAGGAGGAGCGACTGCTGCGCGCACAGGCACGGGCCCAGGCCGAGGTCAAGAAGAAGGTCAGCGAGGCCCCAAGGAGGTGTGGCCTGGGGGCGTGGTGGCCCCCAAGGGGCGTGGCAGTCCAGGAAGGTGTGGCAGTCCCGAGGAGGCGTGGCAGCCCCTAGGGGCGTGGCCCCAGGAGGCGTGGCGGCATCGAGGGGGCGTGGCTGGGAGGGCTCAAGGCTGCAGACCCGCCAGGCCTCGCCCACTTTTGTAGACACACTTGCTGGGGTCCTGGGGGGAGACGGGCCACCAGAGCAATGTCAGGGTGGAGCCAGGGCCCCCATTCTCAGGCCTGCCCTCCCTCCCCACCTGCCCCTGAGGACCCACTTCTTCCGGGCACCCTCCCAACCCTCCCTAGGAGCACTGGTGCCCACAGCTCAGCGCCCCCCTGGGATCCCACCTCCATTCCAGCCAGACCCCAGGCCAAGGCCATCACCCCTCACTCCCTGAGGGTCCCCCAGCCACTGCATCCCCCACCCATAGCTTACGGGTCAGAGTAGCCACTGGCCTGCTGGGCTTGTGGTCCCCAAAGAGTCCCGATCCTGACCCTGGCCCAAGGACCAATGTGGACCCTGCGGGGTCTCTCCTGATCCTCATGGCCGGAGAGATGTCCCTTTAGCCTGGCGTCTCCCGAGTTTCCAGGTGCCTCCTTCCTCCCCCACCCCCACTCATCACCCAGGGCCAGCACCCTGGCATGCAGACCAGATAGATTTCCCTACTCCGGCCCTCCCGGAGGCCCTGGCCCGCCCGCAGACCACACATGACCTCAGCCACTGGAGAGGCTGGGCTGGGCCTGGGCCGGGGGCTCCCGTGCACTCAGGGCAGGTGTCCAGGCCTCCGCCCGGGTGCAGCGAGGCTGGGGTGCAGGCTCATGGCATCCGCTCCCCGCAGCGGGGCAGGAGGCTGGTGTGCCGATCCCGGCCACCTGCCCTGAAGACCAAGGAGCAGTCCAAGCACGAGCTGATGGACAAGGACAGGGAGGAGCAGCTGCTTTTCTTCACGTAGCGCGAGGGCCTCCTGCCGGCTGAACGGAAGCAGACGGCGGCGTGGGGAGCAGAGGCAGAGCCTGCACCCCAGCACGGGCCCCTCACCCCCCACTCTGTGCCTTCAGACCCACCTGGAATAAAAGCTGTGTCGCTTGGGTACCTCCAGGCCTGTCTCAGGAGGCAGACACAGTAACAAAATGTCAGTCTCCTCTCATTTGTCACTTAAACCAGGAAATGATAAGGGATAGAGGAAGAGGTGGTTAGATGGCATCACCGACTGAATGGACTTGAGTTTGAGCAAACTCTGAGAGATAATGGAGGACAGGGAAGCATGGTGCGCTGCAGTCCATGGGGTCCCAAAGAGTCAGACGTGACTTCGTGACTGAACAACAATGATAAGGGATGAGCCCATTTGGATTTCCTGTCAGTCAGCTGCTGAGACAGACGTCCTGTGGTGACTGGGGTGTGGGATCAATTGCAGTTCTGCACAAGGTGAGATGGGAGATCAACTGCGTGTTAACCTGAGGTGACGGGGTAAAAACTCCAGTATAAACCGAGGTGATGTGTGGGATCCACCCTAGATCCACCTTGGGATCTTCTTCAGCTCCACCCAACGCTGATGGGCTGTAGGATGACTCCTAGCTGCCAAGGAACTCAAGTGTGGGAACAAGCACTACTACACTTGAGGAGAGATGTGGGCTCAGACCCAGGCTCTCTGAGACTAGTCGTGAAGTTCATTCATTTTGTACCTGAGGGATGTAGAGGATCATCTCTAGGTGGGAACTGAATGGAGGTGTGGGGTCAGTCCAGCTCCACTGTGAGGTGAGGTGTGGGGTAGCCCCAGCTCTACAGTGGGGTGAGGAGTGGGGTCCACCCAACTCCACTGTGGGCTGAGGTTTGGGGTCATTCCAACTCCACTGTGGGGTGAGGTGTGGGGTCAGCTTCAAATCCCCATGGGGTGAGGTGTGGTGTCCTCCCCAGCTCCACCATGGTGTGAGGTGTGGGGTCAGCCACCAGGTCCATTGGGTCTGAGGTGCAGGGTCAGCCCCCAGCTAAACTGTGGAGCGAGGTTTGGGGTCATCCCAAAGGCCCACCCTGGGATGAGTGGTGGGCTCAGTCCACAGCTCCACTGTGTGGTGAGGTGTAGTGCCAGCCTGCAGCTCCACTGTGGGTTGAGGTGTGGGGTCAGCCAACATGTTCACTGTGGGGTGAGGTGTGGGTTCATACTGAGCTCCACTGTGGTTTGAGGTGTGAGGTCCACCCCAAACTCTTCTGTGTTGTGAGGTGTGGGTTCCTCCCCCAACTCCACCATGGGGTGAGGTGTGGGGTCAGCCCTCTAATCCTCCAGCGAATGAGGTGTGGGTTCCTCCTTCACCTCCTTCTTGGGGTGAGATGTGACATCAGCCCCCAGCTCCACATGGGGTGAGGTGTGAGGTGAGCCCCAGCTCCACGTGGGGTGAGGTGTGAGGTCAGCCCCAGCTCCTCCATGGGATGAGGTGTGGCGTAAAACCTCTTTCCACCATATGGTGAGGTGTGGGTTCAGTCCCTTCTCCATGTAGAGTGAGGTGTGGGGTCAGCCCAGCTCCATGTGGGGTGAGGTGTGGGGCCAGCCCAGCTCCACCGTGGGGTGAGATGTGAGTTAGGCCCATCTACATTGTGTGGTGAGGTGTGGCGTCAGCCCCAACTGCATGTGAGATGAGGTGTGGGTCAGCCCCAGGTTCACCATGAGGTGAAGTGTGGGGTCAACCCCCAACCCCAAGTGGGGTGAAGTGTTAAGTCAGGCCCAAATCCACTTGGGGTTAGGTGAGGGGTCTGCCCAACTCCACGTGTGGTGAGGTGTAGGGTTAGCCCCATTTCCACTGTGGGTAAGGTGTGGGGTCATCCTCAACTTCACGTGGGGTCAGGTGTGAAGTCAGTCCCAACTCCACATAGGGTGAGTTGTGGGGTATGCCCCAGCTCCATCGTGGTGTGAGGTATGGGTTCCATGCAAATCCTCCATGGGGTGAGGTGTGGGGTCAGGCCCAGTGCCACTGCTGTGTGAGCTGTGGGTCAGCCCCAGCTTGATCGTGGGGTGTGTTGTGGGGTAAGCCCCATCTCCACTGTGGGGTGCGGTGTGGTGTGAGCTCTGGCTCCAACTTGAGGTGATTATGTGGCCAGCCCCAGGTCCACCATGGGGTGAGTTCTGGGGTTCGCCCCCATGTCATCCATGGTGAGTTGTGCGTCAGCCCCAGCTCCACTGTAGGGTGAGGGGTGGCATCAGACCCCAATCCACCAAGGCATGAGGTGTGTGGTCAGCCTCACTCCACCGCAGGGTGTGGTGTGCCATAAACCCCATCTCCACCGTGTGGTGAGCTGTGTGGTCAGCCACAGGTCCACTGTGGGGTGAGGTATGTGGTCATTCCCCAATTCCTCTGTGGGATAAGGTGTCATAACATCCCCAGATCCACTGTGGGGTGAGTTGTTGGGTCAGCTTCAAGTTCACCATGGGTGAGGTGTGATGTCTGCCCCTACTCCACCATGGGGTGAGGTATGTGGTCAGCCACAACTCCACCTCAGGTTGTGGTTTGGGGCAAGCCCCAACTCCACCATGGGAAGAGGTGTGTGGTCGGCCACAACTCCACTGAAGTGTGTGGTGTGGGGCCAGCCCCAGCTCCACCGTGGGGTGAGGTCTGTGGTCGGGCCCTGTTCCACTGTGGACTGAGGTGTGTGGTCAGCCCCTGGTACACCGTGGGGTGAGGTCTGTGGTCGGGTCCTGTTCCACTGTGGACTGAGGTGTGTGGTCAGCCCCTGGTACACCGTGGGGTGAGGTCTGTGGTCGGGCCCTGTTCCACTGTGGACTGAGGTGTGTGGTCAGCCCCTGGTACACCGTGGGGTGAGGTCTGTGGTCGGGCCCTGTTCCACTGTGGACTGAGGTGTGTGGTCAGCCCCTGGTACACCGTGGGGTGAGGTCTGTGGTCGGGCCCTGTTCCACTGTGGACTGAGGTGTGTGGTCAGCCCCTGGTACACCGTGGGGTGAGGTCTGTGGTCGGGCCCTGTTCCACTGTGGACTGAGGTGTATGGTCAGCCCCTGGTACACCGTGGGGTGAGGTCTGTGGTCGGGCCCTGTTCCACTGTGGACTGAGGTGTGTGGTCAGCCCCTGGTACACCGTGGGGTGAGGTCTGTGGTCGGGCCCTGTTCCACTGTGGACTGAGGTGTGTGGTCAGCCCCTGGTACACCGTGGGGTGAGGTCTGTGGTCGGGCCCTGTTCCACTGTGGACTGAGGTGTGTGGTCAGCCCCTGGTACACCGTGGGGTGAGGTCTGTGGTCGGGCCCTGTTCCACTGTGGACTGAGGTGTGTGGTCAGCCCCTGGTACACCGTGGGGTGAGGTCTGTGGTCGGGCCCTGTTCCACTGTGGACTGAGGTGTGTGGTCAGCCCCTGGTACACCGTGGGGTGAGGTCTGTGGTCGGGCCCTGTTCCACTGTGGACTGAGGTGTGGGGCCAGCCCCAGCTCCACCGTGGGGTGAGGTCTGTGGTCGGGCCCTGTTCCACTGTGGACTGAGGTGTGTGGTCAGCCCCTGGTACACCGTGGGGTGAGGTCTGTGGTCGGGTCCTGTTCCACTGTGGACTGAGGTGTGTGGTCAGCCCCTGGTACACCGTGGGGTGAGGTCTGTGGTCGGGCCCTGTTCCACTGTGGACTGAGGTGTGTGGTCAGCCCCTGGTACACCGTGGGGTGAGGTCTGTGGTCGGGCCCTGTTCCACTGTGGACTGAGGTGTGTGGTCAGCCCCTGGTACACCGTGGGGTGAGGTCTGTGGTCGGGCCCTGTTCCACTGTGGACTGAGGTGTGTGGTCAGCCCCTGGTACACCGTGGGGTGAGGTCTGTGGTCGGGCCCTGTTCCACTGTGGACTGAGGTGTGTGGTCAGCCCCTGGTACACCGTGGGGTGAGGTCTGTGGTCGGGCCCTGTTCCACTGTGGACTGAGGTGTGTGGTCAGCCCCAGCTCCACCGTGGGGTGAGGTCTGGGGTTTGCCCACAAATGCTCCATGGGCTGAGTTGTGGGGTCAGTCCCCAACTCCTCAGTGGGGTGAGGTATGGTTTAAGCCCCAAACCCACTGAGGGGTGAGGTATTGGGTCAGCCCCAGCTCCACTGTAGGGTGAGTTGTTGGGTCAGCTTCAAGTTCACCATGGGTGAGGTGTGGTGTCTGCCCCTACTCCACCATGGGGTGAGGTGTGTGGTCAGCCACAACTCCACCTCAGGGTGTGGTATGGGGCAAGCCCCAACTCCACTGTGGGGTGAGGTGTTGGGTCAGCCCCAGCTCCACTGTGGGGTGAGGTGTCGGGTCAGCCCCACTGTGGGGTGCAGTGTGGTGTCAACCCAGGCTCTACCGTGGACTTAGGTGCCAGGTCTGAACCAAATTCACCGAGGGGTGAGGTGCGGGTTCAGCCCCACCATGGGATAAGGTGTCAGGTCAGACCCCCCACTGTGGGGTTGAGTTGTGGGGTCAGCCCCAGCTCCACTGTGGTCTGAGGTCGGGGTCAGCCCTAGCAGCTCCATGAGGTGAGGTGTTGGGTCATTCCCACCATGGAGTGAGGTGTGGGGTCAGCCCCAGATCCACTGTAGTGTGAGGTATGGGGTCAATCTGCAACTCTTCTGTAGGTTGACATGTGGTGTCAGCCCCAGCTGCACCAAGGGCTGAGCTATGGGGTAAGCCCCACTGTGGGTTGACGTGTAGGGTCATCCCCAACTCCACTGTGGGATGAGGTGTAGGGTCTGCTCCAGCTCCTCCATGTGATGAGGTATGGGGTCAGGCCCAGCTCCACTGTGGGATTAGGTGTGAGGTCAGTCCCCAACTCCTCCTTGGGGTGAGGTGCTGAGTCAGTCCCAACTCCTCCATGGGGTGAGGTGTGGGTTCTGCCCCCAACTCCTCTGTGGAATGAAGTGTTGTGTTAGACACCAACTCCTCCGTGGGGTGAAGTGTTGGTCAGCCTCAGCTCCACCGAGGGCTGATGTTTGGGGTCAGCTGCAGCTCCACCATGGT